GTAATGATTTTTAAAATAGACACAAATAGCATTACCATAAAAGAGAAGATTGACAAATTGGACTATAGAAAAAAGTTATAACACCTATTAATTAAAAGACATACTACAGAATTGGTAAAGATAAGTATTTATAAGATTAAGATATGATGAGGGAGTCATTCAGAGTAACAAACTTTTACTGAACAGTAACAAAAAGAAGCCATCAATAGAAACTAGCTAAGAACTCTTCCAAACAATAAAAGAAGAGGAAACACTTCCAAATGAATTTTATGAGGCTAGCATCACCTGATTGATACCAGAGTCAGACAAGAACACAATAAGAAAAGAAAACTACAGGCCAATATCCCTGATGAAAACATATGTAAAAATTCTCAATAAAATACTAGCAAAGTGAATTAAACTGCACACTAAAAGGATTATACACCATGACCAGTGGAATTCATCCCTGGGATGCAAGGACAGTTCAATATATGTAAATCAGCATTATTATACCACACTGACAAAACGAAAGGAAAAAAATTACAAGATTATTTCAATAGGTACAGGAAGAGTATTTGACAAAGTTCAGCATCCATTCATAATTAAAGCTTCAACAAAATAAGTACAAAAAGAACTTTCCTCAATGCAATGATAGCCATATCTAAAATGCCTATGGCTAATATTATAATAAACTGTGGAAAAACTGACAGCTTTCCCTCTAGTATATGGCACAAGGCAAATTTGCTCACTCTCAAGACCTCTACTTAACATAGTGCTAGAAGTCTTAGCCAGAGTAATTAGAAAAGAAAAAATAATAAAAGGCATCTAATTGAATAAGAAGTAAAATTCTCTCTTTGCAAATGACATGATCATATATGTAGAAACCTTAAAGACTCAATAATTGTTAAAACAAATAAATGAATTCAGTAGATTTGCAAGATACTATTTCAACACACAAAGTCAGTTGCATTTCTATACAAACAATAAACTATCCAAAAAAGAAGAAAACAATTTCATTCACAACAGCAACAAAAAGAATGAAATACTTAGAAATAAACTTAACCAAGGAGATGAAAAAGAAAATTATAAAGCACTGATAAAGGAAATTAAAGACACTGAAGATTATAAAGCATTGAGGAAGAAAATTAAAGACATATATAAATGGAAAGATTTCCCATGGCCATAGATTGGAAAAAAGTAATATTCTTAAAATGTCCATACTACCCTAAGTGATTTACTGATTCAGTGCCATCCCTATCAAAATCCCGATGTCAATCTTTATAGAAAGAAAAAATAACTTTCCCAAAATTCGTATGGAACCACAAAATAGCCCAAATACCCAAAGTAATCATCAGAAAGAACAAAGTTGGAGACATCACACTTCTTTATTTTAAAGTATATTACAAACTTACAAGCCTACATTAAACAAAACAGCATGGTACTGGCATAGAAACAGACATATAGACCAATGGAACAGAATAGAAAGGCCAGAAATAGAATAGAGAACCCAATGCATGGGTTCCTCCCAAAAGAAACTATTAAAATGTTGAGTAAACATGTAAAAAACTTATCATCATAAATTATAAGGAAAATGCAAACTAAAGCACAATTACATACCCCCATACAACACCCACCAGTATAGTGAAGTTAAATTAACTGACGTTATCAAGTGTTGATGAAGACATGGAGGAACAGGAACCCTCACATGCTGTCTGTAAGAGTGTACAGTAGTATAACCATTGTAGAAGACTCTTTGATGGGGCATCTCCTAACTCTGAACGTGTACTTGATGACCAGCAGTTCCATTCCCAGATCATATTTAACACAAGAAGAAATCTTGGGAGGACATACCCCACCAGATACATATGTGCAAATATGTGGTATCCATATAAGCACAAAAGACAAGAACATAGCAACATTGTTACATTGTCTAAAATTTGGACATAACCCAAATACTCACCAATAATAAAATCAGTTTAGTTATTTTTCACATATTCATATGATAGAATAGTAGGAAAATGAAAGAGCAACTACTTCACACAACTACATGGATCCATTTCACAAAATGTGAGGAAAATAAGCCAAAAATAAAAGTGTAATTTTATTTTCTTTCTCTCTGGCTCAAAAAATAGGCTAAAACTAGTCAGGCATGGTGGGTTACACCTATAATCCCAGCATTTTGGGAGGCTGAGGCAAACAGATCACCTGAGGTCAGGAGTTCAAGACCAGCCTGGCTAACATGATGAAACCCATCACTACTAAAAATACCAAAATTTACCAGGCATGGTGGTGGGCGCCTGTAATTCCAGCTACTTGGAAGGCTGAGGCAGGAGAATCACTTGAACCTGGAAGGCAGATATTGCGGTGAGCCAAGATCATGCCACTGCACTCCTGCCTGGGCAACAGAGCAAGACCCTGTCTCAAAAAAGGAAAAAACAAGAAAGGGCTAAAACAAGTAATTATTACCTTTGGTAGTAGAGGGCATGAGGAAGGCTTTTAGGATACATTTTGTGACCTGTGAGGTAGATAATTGGGTGTTAAAGTTTCCAAAATTTTATCACTTTTGCAGTTTCCTGTGTATATGTTATTTTTTGATAAAAATAGTAGATATATCAAAATATTTACAGTATGTATAACTGAGTTGTGCTATCGTAGGTGGCTTTTATTTTCTTTAAGCTTTCATATACTTTTAAAATATGTAATGTTTAAGCATTTGAAAGTGGTTTGCATTTTCTAATCACTTTGATGAAACCTTTTCCTCTTGATCCCTTTCGCCCTTTCCCTAAGTCTATGCCTTAGAACTGTCTTGCATCAACTGTTCCAGTGGTCTCTTGATCAGTCTTCTTGTCTCTATTCTTGTAAGTAGGAGGCAAAATTATCTACCAAATGCTGGTCAGTTTTGTGGTCTTTAAGAGAATTCCTTAACTTGGAAGCAATTGCTGTTGGTAGCCCTTTATCTGCTCCTCACTTTTTTTTAAACCACAGCACACAAAACTAATGATACTCCTGTGAACCACATGAAAATGGAAATGTTTTGAAGTGATAGAAGCCAGACACAAAGGTCATGTGTTATATGATTTCTTTTTATGAAATATCCAGAATAGGTAAATCCATAGAGACAAAACACAGACTATTGGTTGCCAGGGACTGAGAGTAAGGGGGTATAGAGGGAGACTGCTTAGTGGTTAGGGAGTTGTTATCAGCTGAATTATAATACCTCCTGCAAAAGAAAAAATGATATGTTAAAGTTGTAACCCATAGTACTTAGGAAGGTAACTCTATTTGGAGACAGGGTCTTTACAGAGGTAGATAAGTTGAAATGTGGTCATTATAGTGGGCCCTACTCCAATATGACAGATACCCTTATAAGAAGAGGAAATTTGGACACAGACACATACAAAGGGAGGACCACATGAAAACACAGGGAGAAGATAGCGATTGACAGGCCATGGAGAGAGGTCTGGGGCAGATCACTCCCTGATGGCCCTCAGCAGACATGAAGCCTACTGACACTTTGATCTTGAACTCCCAGCCTCCAGAACTGTGAAAAAAATGATTTTTTGTTATGTAATCCACCCAGTGTCTGGCACTTTTTAATAGCATTCCTAGCAAACTAACTCAGGGGTTTTGTATTGGAGTGATAGAAATGTTTTAAAACTAGATAGAGTTGGTGTTTGCATAACACTGTGAATGTACTGAATGTCAGTGAATTGGTTACTTCAAAGGAGTTAATTTTATGTCATGTGAATGTCACCTCAATAAATTTAAAAAAAAAAGACACCCCCCCCCCCACCAGCTTTCTTACCACCCACCAGTCAGCCAGGCAATTTTCCCTTGCAAATGAAGCAAAAGATTGGAGGTTTATTCTCCAGAGAAGGTAAAAACAAGACACTCTGCACTGCCTTCAAAAAGTGATGAGGAATTTTGAGAGGCTGTTGTCAAGTTAGCCCATCGTTAAATGTTAAAGTATGTAAACTTAAAACTAAATAAATTATATTAAAGGCACAGACAATAAATACTCAAAATCCTCACTTCCTAATCATTTTACTATCTTTTACTATTATCAACAGTTGTGAGGTTATTTGTATTTACTGTCTATCTTTAGTGGAAATACTTCATAATGATGCAACACTTCCCATCTCTTCTTCAACTTTACTTCAGTGGTACCATGTTGGTACCTTGACATCTTCTGTGGTGGAAATTTTTACTCCATGGAAATGATCAAAAACTACAAATCAGGACACTCCTTTTCCCCCTCCCTCCCTGCCTCCGTTCTCAGACCCGGTTGTTAAACCTCTACTAGCACCCTGCTGCTAACAAATTCTAAGTATCCTGGAGATAAATCACAGTCTTGGACAAACAAGAATCCCCAACAGAAACAGCCTTTGGAAATGCTCTTCCACATTTCCTCACTGTATCCTGGCTTCCTCCTTGTTCACCACAGTGCTGTCGCCCCTGGAAACCACCTCGCATCAGCCAGGGAGAGCGAGGGCCCCGGGCAACAGTCCTGAATGCTCAGGTTAACTCCTGGGAGAACCTGCATCCCCACTGGTGGCACTGACAGCTGGGGACACTCCCCACAGTGATGGCAAAACCGTCTAGTGCTCGGGGCCTTTGTAGCTCCTGGCTGCCATGCTGGCAGCATCCTCTTGGCTGCCACTCACTGGCCTGGCTCTCAGCTTCCTCTGTGTCAAGGCAGGAGCAGCAGGCACTGAGCCACTCTAAATGTTTGCTGGAGATGGAGCAACCTGGCCTGGTCACAGCTGTAGCCGTGCTTCCTGCCAGACCTCTCAGTGGCTGAGTCAGTGGGTTCATTGGTGGGATGGGAAGAACAGTCCACGAAAGGACCTCCCAGCGTGAGCTTGGCTCTGCCAGCCAAGCAAGGGATATTTGTGCTCCTTACCTGGGAAACAGATGTAGAGGTCAAAGGGCAGGTTTAAAGCCATAGTCATCATTCCCTACCTGGAGCCACTAAACCTGCCTCTTTCACTGGGGTAAAAGTGTTGACTTCTTTCTGAACAGGGAGTGGCAAATCAAAGGCATTGCAGCCTCTTTCATCACTGCCGATTGCTGATGCCGACCCTGTGCCAAGTGCTTAATACATCACCTTAAATCTTCTCATCCACCCTCAAAGGTAAGTGTTATTTTCCCTGTTTTACAGATGAAGAGAATCAGGCTGAGGAAATTACTTGAATAAACTCTCAAGGAGAGTTTGTGATAGAGCCTGCATTCAAGCTCAAATTCCTTAGACTCCAAAGACAGTGCTCTTCCTGCTGTACTGCCCCTGTTCAGGCCCTCCCATGTGGACTGGTTCAGCCCTTTCCATGTGGATGGCTACTGCCCGTTCACCTCTCCCGCCCCTCTTCCCCTGCTTCCACACATCCTACACACCACAGTCAAATTAATCTCTGTCTAAAAATCTAGATACAGATGCAGACAGATGCAGATATAGACATAGGCATAGAAATTGACATAAACATTGACTTAGACATAGACATGGACATGGACGTGAACATAGACAGGGACATTGACTTAGACAGAAACATGGATAAATATTTTGATGAAAGATTCAAAAGGTCAGGAATCATGTCTGATTCATTTTGTGTCCCTAGAATCTATCACAGTACCTGTTTCAGAGCAAGGAAGGTCTCCAAAAATACTGGAGGAATTAAACTGAATGGACTATCGTTTCCCAAATAAAGTGTTGGTGACTCCTACCAAATAATAGTACTAGGTACAGAGCCCTCACATCAGCATCTGGAATTCTCCCCGTCTGACCCCACCTGACCCTTCTCATCTTAACTACATCCAGCCTACACTCTAAGCATACATGACTCTTTCATGTTCCCTAAGTCCCACATTGAACTTTTCCTCCATCTCAAGGACCCTCTTTAGCCCCATCTATCCCTTCTAAAATGTCATGGCCCATTTAAAATATTACTTCTTCCTTGAAGTGTCTCTCTTTATTTCTTTATGAAATGTAACATTTCTGTCTTCTGAATCCCTTAGCGCTGTATATCTTTCTATGGCCTAATCTTTCTCTGACATAGATTTTAATCATTGAGATAATAATTCCCCTTGTCTGGAATGTCCTTCATCCAGGCTCTTTTTTACATTCATGATTCAGTCTAATATCACCTCCTCTGTGAAGCCTCTCCAGCTCTCCCAGCCCAGTTAGTCACTCCTACCTATATGCTTCTGGAACATCTGAATATCCTCCATTGAAGTACTGGTCATCACGGTTATGGTCCAATTACTGTTATCTCTCAACTGCCAAGTGCCTCAGAGATACAAGTGGTACCTTCTTGGACTTTGTCTTTATGGCTTCCACCACAGTTTCAGCGGTAATTGGTAAATAAATAAGTGAAAGACAAGAAAGACACTGTTCCATTTTTCTCTGCTCCCAACCTTCTTTCTTTACCATTCTACCTGTTTGCCTTCTGTTATCAGTATGCTATTTGTAGGATCACAGGTGGAGCCATGGGAAACAAACAAACAAAAAAAATAAGAAAAACTAAGCAGCACTCAAAAACATGGGAAAACACAATGGATCGTCTGATCTGGGGCACAAAGGCTAGGTTACCAGTTACAATTAGAATAAATGGTTTTCATCAAATGAGTTGGTGACAATGACTGCTAATTTATTTGTAGTTTCAATATTTCCCTCAAACAACAACAACAACAAAAAAAATAAAAATTTTAAAAACTAGGGCCTGGCGTGGTGACTCGTGCCTGTAATCCTAGCACTTTAGGAGGCAGAGGCAGGCGGATCACTTGCGGTCAGGAGTTCGAGACCGGCCTGGCCAACATGGTGAAACCCTGTCTCTACTAAAAATACCAATTAGCTGGGCGTGGTGGCACACACCTGTAATCCCACCTGCTCGGGAGGTTCAGACAAAAGAATCGCCTGAACCTGGGAGTCAGAGGTTGCAGTGAGCCAAAATCGAGCCACTGCACTCTAGCCTGGGTGACAGAGAAAGACTGTGTCTCGGGAAAAAAAAAAAAAAAAAACTAGAATATTATACTGGTTTATAATATATTTTGAACCCATTGTTCAAGATCATAGGTATGTCCTTTAAAGGAACAGCTGACTTGTGACATATAGGCAAGGAAATGTGTATTTTTGTTAGGAGGTTTTCCCTGGGCAGAAGCTGATAAGAAACACTTAAATGAATAGAGAGCACCAATTGGAAGAGAAACACAAAAGCCTTACTTGCAGGTACTATATCTGTCATCTTACCTCCCACCACCTGGGGCAGCATAAAATGAGTTTTCTTGATTCCTTTTAAAGATAAAACAGTTAAAACAGTCAAGTCACAAATTCAACATGGCAAAACAGACAAATAGATTTGTGGTTACTGCCTGTGGTTTTCTAGAAAGAAAAGCAGAGGCAGTAGAAGAACCGTAAGTAGTAGACAAACTGGCTATCACCAGGGTCCTAATATGTCTTTTTTCCTCCCTTCTGTGCCTTTACCCTGGACCATTTCTTCTACCTAGGAATCCCTGCTTCATATAATTTAATGAGCACATTAGCAAACATTAGCTAAATCCTCCCAGAGATCTTTATGAGGCTGGTGTCCTCATCCCTATTTTACAGATGAGGCTAGTTGTTAAGACTTCACAGTCCTATAGCTGCTGAACCTAGGTCCAAAACCCTGGACTTTCCTATTTAAACAGCTGTCTCCACCATTTTCCTTTGTAAAATGCATTCCCAAGGCACAACTCAAGGACATCCCAAAAGTGTCCTGATCACTCCTGGAAGGAGACCTTCTATTCCCGAAATGTCCATGGACTCTGATAGCAGTGCTTTTAGTCACAACCATTAATAATAGGCGAATGCTCCTTGTCCCAGATGCCTATGAGATGTCAGCTTCTTAAGGGCAAGGATTGCGTATCTTTCTAGCCTTTATCTATGAATTCAGTATTTTCCCTGAGAAATGCATGTTACGTATTCAAGAAAGTCAGAGAAGCCTAGGGTTACTTTCAGCAATTAAAGCCTCTGGCCATAATTTGATGAATTAAAACTGCATGAAAGCAGAAGACACTGAAAGTGCTTTGCTTATATAAATGCATTAATTATGGCCCCATATTCTAGCTTTCATATGAAGTTACAATTGATATTAAACTCATGGAGGAAATGAAAAGACCCCAAAATGGCTAAACTATGTAAACTTGTGGCTCCCCTATTGAGCTGGAGGCACAAGTCAAAAGGTCTTCCTACTCACATAACTTTACTTACCTCAGTCTGTGGCATATAATCATGCTTAATAAACATTCATTTGATAGATAGATGGGTTGATAAATGGACACAGTGATGCATGAAACATATAAGTGAGTATATAAACAAGCAAAACAATATTGCTTCTTTTTACTAATGATTTTTGAGGAATATTAATAATAATGCTTTAAACAAAACAAACTAATCCAAGCAATGCCATCCCTGCTAAGTTGTCTACAAACAAAGCAAAGCTCTCATGATCTCTATAATTCTGTTTTGACAGTATGGCTTCTGTGTCTGAAATATCTACAATCCCTTTGTTTACAATAGCACCTTAACTGGGTGATTTAAATGAGTAGAGATTGCTTTTACATTTTTCTACAATTATTTAAATGCACATTTCAATTTTCCTGAATTGTGCAAAAGTAATTTGGAAGATTAATTTCTGAAAATACCTGCTGGAATTTGCATACGCCAAGCATAATTATTATTGATATTTGCATAGTTCTCCCTGCCCACGTGCATGCACTATTACCAACTGCTATATAACCCATGAAATTATTGAAGAAGTTGCTGTCAGTACAATATGGATTCATCAATAAATGTTCAGCCTCATAGAAAAACAAACTTCACTGTTCAGCTGTAGAAATGTGTCATTTCATTGTATTTATTTAAATGGGGGCAGAATCTGCAAAGATAAATCCAAAGCAAAATAATGTGGCAGTCTTGTGCAATAAAGATTAATGTTATTGCAAAGAACCTCTGAGATTCCTAAGAGGTTGAAAACCCCATTGAAAAGGCTAGAAAAGCAATAGGAATTGGGGATTCTTCGTGGGGAAAAGAAAGGAAATAGGCCAGGCTCGGTGGCTCATGCCTGTAATCCCAGCACTCTGGGAGACAGAGGTGGGTGGATCCTGAGGTCAGGAGTTCAAAACCAACCTGACCAACATGGCGAAACCCCATCTCTAAATACAAAAATTAGCTGGGTGTGTGGTGACCCCTGCCTGTAATCCCAGCTTCTTAGGAGGCTGAGGCAGGAGAGTCACTTGAACCCAGAAGGCAGAGGTTACAGTGAGCTGAGATGGCGCCACTGCACTCCAGGCTGGGCAACAGAGCTGTTGTTTTAGACTCCATCTAAAAACAAACAAACAAAAACAAAGTAAATATACCCATGCTGCAGAGGGGTGGGGTATTAGAGTATAGTCAGAGAGAGAGCTATGCCACACATGGCTAGAAAGAAAATTCACAGAGATTTGGACTGTGGGAATCACAAATTCTTGATGAATGTATGGACAAGTTCATTAAATGTTTATATAAGGTGTTACACAGGAATGTGACATTTCTTTCCTTTAATCTGCTTGGATGGCAAAACCAAATGGAAAGAAATATGGACAGAAATTATGCAGGAGAATAATAATAGAAAATACTTCTATAACACCCATTATGTGGTAGGCATTTGAGACAGAGTCTCGCTCTGTCACCCAGGCTGGAGTGCGGTGGCACGATCTCGGCTCACTGCAACCTCCGCCTCCCAGGTTCAAGCATTTCCCTGCCTTAGCCTCCCGAATAGCTGGGACTACTGGCGCCTGTGGTAGGCATTCTATTAATAGCTATATATATGTATATATTTAATTCTTATAATAAATGGTCATAAGAATAATGTTTAATTCTCATAATAAATATTCATTCATTCATTTACTTCACCAACTTCGGAAACATTTTGCGTATTTGGCATGTTATAAGGGACTGTGAGAAGCTACAGAGATACACAGATAAAGTCCTTACCCTCAAGTAGCTCATAGCCAATGACACAAAACAGATGTCAAATGTATTTTTATAAATATGTATATTGTATATATGGGGGAAATAGCAATTGACTGTGCTGGGAACTGGAGGGAAGTTCTTAGAGGAAACAA